TTCTTTTGAAGTACAAGAGCTTTTTAGTAAGATGAGATCCCAGTTGTTGATTCTATCTGCTAGTTCCCGTGCTACTGAGGATTTGTTCATAGTCTTTTCCTATACTAGCGTCTTCCAGAGTTCTGCCTAACTTACCTTCCAGCAAGTTTAATGTTTCTGTTTTAATATTTAGATCTTTAATCCATTTGGATTTTAATTTAGTGCATGGTGAAAGATAAGGGTCTAATTTTAATCTGTGGCAGGTTGTTGATTCTATCTGCTAGTTCCCGTGCTACTGAGGATTTGTTCATAGTCTTTTCCTATACTAGCGTCTTCCAGAGTTCTGCCTAACTTACCTTCCAGCAAGTTTAATGTTTCTGTTTTAATATTTAGATCTTTAATCCATTTGGATTTTAATTTAGTGCATGGTGAAAGATAAGGGTCTAATTTTAATCTGTGGCAGGTTGACATCCAGTTTTTCCAACACCATTTATTAAAGAGGCTATCTTTCCTCCACTGAGGATGGTCAGCTCCTTTGTCAAAGATGAGGTAGCTGAGTACATCTGGAGTTGTTTTTGTGTCTTCCAGTCTGTTCCACTGATCCTCAGGCCTATTTCTTTGCCAGTACCATGCTGTTTTTATCACAGTGGCTTTGTAGTATAGTTTCAAATTGAGCCCCACTTAATTTTTAATATTTAAACCAACTTGCCTTATTGGAATAAATCCCAATTCAACTTGGTCATAATGTATTTATATATCACTCAATTGAGTTTGTTTGTTTGTTTGTTTTGGTTTTTTGAGACAGGGTCTCACTATGTAGTTGAGACTGACCTGGAATTCACTATGTAGCTCAGGCTGGTCTCAAATTCACAGCGATCCTCCTGCCTCAGCCTTCTGAGTGCTGGAATTACAGGCGTGCACCACCATGCCCAGCCACAAGTTTGTTAATATTTTGATTAGGATTTTTCCTCCTGTGTTCATGTTTACAATTGCTGTAATATATATTTTTTTGTGTGTGTGATAATTCTTATCAAATGTGAATATCAAGATGATACCTTATAAGCTTGAGTATCATTCCCTGTTTTCTAGTTAATAGTTCAAAATATCACAAACTGGGGATGTTGGTGCCCGCCTGTAATCCCAGCACTCAGGAGGCTGAGGCAGGAGGATTGCTGCAAGTGTGAGGCCAGCCTAGGCTATATATAGACACCCTGTCAAAAAAAGATCTTCCTTGTACCCAGCTATGGAAGAATAAAACATTGAGAGAAACCGCTAAAAAAAAATCTTTTCTTTCTGTTCCTCACCATCCTCCTGAACAGTTCAAACCAGTAGACATTAGGTGAGGGTTAACCAAGAGATGTTTCTATAGCGGTTGGCCACAGAGGCCTGGTGGTCCTGCTGGAGCCAGGGAAGCTGTGCTGGCTGTCAGTGCAGGGGCCGCAGGCAGGGCTGAATCCAGAAGAGGATGTGTGTGCTGGCCATGAGATGGGGCAGGGGTACAGGGAGACCTTGGCAAGGGCCAGGACAGCCTTATCAGCTGGCAGGAGCACAGCTGTATGTGCGACAGCCCGCAGCACTGCTGGGGGTGGGACCCAGGGCTTGCACGTGCTAGGTGAGTGCTCTGCCTGGCACGTGTGCAAGAACAGGGAGGCACACGGGGCTCGCACCTGCCCTTCTGACCTAGTCACTATTTAGAGCTGGAGTTTTCCTACAGTGAGAACTGTGAAAATGATAAACTGGGAGAAAAGGGGAAGTATTGTTGGTGCACACAAGACCTGGATGGACCTCAGAGAAATAAAAAAGGCAACCTCAGAAGTTTACAGCCTGAACACAGAAGACAAGTCTGCAGACTTTATGATTTATTCATTTCTATGAATTCTATAAAGGAAAGCCACAGCGATAGTGATGAAGATCAGTTCTTGCCAGGGGTTGAGGGGTGGAGGAAGGATGTGGTTCAAAGAAAGAACAGGAAAGGTGGGGTTTTTTGTTTTGATTTTTTGTTTTTTGAGATAGGATCTCAATATGTAGCCCAGGCTGACGTCAAATGCATGGGCATGGTGATCCTCCTGCCTCAGCCTCCTAAATGCTGAGATTACAGGCATGCATCACCACACTTGGCTGAGAAATGGGGGGGGCAACAGAATTATTGCTAAAATCTATAGAACTGTATTCCCCAGCAGTCATGCTTACTGCATGTTAAAGTAGAAAAGCAAACATAGAGAGCACTGCAGAGGGTGTCTCCACTCACTGCCCGTTCCCTCCTCGCGTCAGATCGGAGCTGGGGGCAGCATCACTGGGCTGAAGTTCAACCTTCTCAACACCGACCAGTTCTACACCGCCTCCATGGAAGGAACAACAACGCTGCAGGACTTTCGAGGCAACACTGTCCGGGTTTTTGCCAGAAGCGACTGCTGCAAGTGAGTATGTCGCTTCGGAGCAGAGGGGCTCATTCTGCGACGATCCCGGCCCCTCCTGGCACAGGGGCGGAAGGAAAGGTGTCGGCCACTTGCTGGCCCCCTAGATGGCCGCGTGGACCTCAGCCCAGCTGGGCTCCTGCTTTGGGGAGGTGGTGTGGCTGGGCTTCCTTGTCTGCGCCGGCCCTCCGTGGGAGCTTGCAGGTGTGGAGCCGTCCCCTAGGAGCAGGTGGAGGGAAGTGAGCAGGGCCTATCACTTCGCTGTCCGGCTGGACACAGCTGTCTTGTGTCAGTCACTTGAGCTGTCGAGACGGGACAGGCAGGACCCCGCTCCAGGTTTGCCTGTCCCAAGGAACCAGTCCCCCACCCCAAGTACTGACACCTGCGGTGGAGGGCAGAGGGTGCTGCGCATCCTGGAGGATTTCAGAGAAACAGTGGGTCCGCTGTCAGGATCCCCTCAGGAGAAAAGCGCCCCTGGGGTGCGTGTGCTTTTCCCCGGATGCTCAGAAGGGGGCAGACATTGGTTTCTAGCCAGCTGTGGGGAACAGAGCTGCCGGTTCCCCTTTGGTTTGACATCTCCTTTGGCCCAAAGGCGGAGAGGGATGAGGCGAGAACAGGGAGTCAGGCTTCCTCAGAACCCAGCTCCAGTGGGCAGGCTGGCCTCAGACTTGGGCTGTCGCCTGAGGTCTGGCTGCTTCCGGCAGCTGTCGTAGCCGAGGATGCTGGGCTGGCAGGAATGGGTTCGTTTCCGAGCCCGTCACCCCATTCCCTCTCTGGACCAAGGATGAGTCTGAGTGTTCCTCACTGAGAATCCGCGGTCACCCGATCAGACCATTCACCCTGCAGTACCTACTGAGGGCCCACTGTGGCCGGATGCCAGGCCTGGCTCAGGCCCTGTCTCACAGCAGCCTCCCCTCCAGCATCTGGTTCTGCAGCTTGGATGTGTCTGCCAAGAGCCGAGTGGTGGTCACAGGAGACAACGTGGGCCACGTGACCCTGCTGAACACGGACGGCAAGGAGGTACGGTCTGCACGGCCCTGGCCTCGGCCCTCCTGCACCCGCAGCCTCAGTTTTGCAGTTTTGCATCCCACCCTGAACGAGGCTCTTCTCCACAGCTTTGGAATCTCAGAATGCACAAAAAGAAAGCAACCCACGTGGCCCTGAACCCCTGCTGTGACTGGCTGCTGGCCACAGCCTCCGTAGATCAAACAGTGAAACTCTGGGACCTGCGCCAGGTCAAAGGGAAGGACGGCTTCCTCTACTCGCTGCCACACAGTCACCCAGTCAACGCAGGTGTGTGACACCCAACCCCATCTCTCCCACAGACCCTGCCTGACTCAGCACAGCTGCAACTTTTCCTCAAAGTTCAAGAGCCACTGACGGGGTCAAGCTGGTACCCCGGTAGCGTCCGCCACGCTGATGTCCAGGCTCCTGTGGGGCTGTGGCCGCCCCACGGACTGCTGAGTTTCTAGAATTCTTGTTCATAGCCCAGAGTCAGATTCCCCTTTTCCTTCCCACCCTTCGCTCCCCACCCTGCACGGGCAGAGCGACGGGTTGGGTTCCCCTGCTCACGGGCTTTCCACTGTGGCAGCTTGCTTTAGCCCTGACGGAGCCCGGCTGCTCACCACCGACCAGCGGAACGAGATCCGGGTTTACTCGGCTTCGCGGTGGGACCGCCCCATGAGCCTGATCCCACACCCACATCGCCACTTCCAGCACCTCACCCCCATCAAGGTGAGCGACAGGACCGAGACGGGTGCAGGCGCGCTGAGCCCGCTGCCTGGTGCGGAGGGGCAGTGGAGGTTAGCCTCCCTCCCTGCCTGCCTGCAGCCCTCGCCTCCCCGCCCCACAGCAGCCTCTGCCCCTGGGCTCTGCCCACTCCTCTTGTTCTGCCTCTGCGGCGCCATTTTGAACTTTCTTAATCTAACAAGCTATTTTTGTGGGTCTTTTCACCTCATCCCTAGGCACTTTCTATGATGCCGACTCTCTGTCCTGTCCTCACAGTTCTTCCGGTCACTGTTACGTGCAGTTTGTCCACAAACTAACCTTCACCTTAGTTTGTCTTGCAGGTTTAGGTGGCTTCTAGTAATAGAAATAAATCCCCTACCTCCCCAATTTGGATCTCCGTGTCCTCATTTGTAAAAAGGCAGTAGTAGTGTCTGATAGGGTGGTCGTGATGATCAGTGCGCTGAAAACACTTGCACCATGCCTAGCACCTGGTAAGTACTCAGTACGTGGTGCTCAGCACCTGAAATCGAACCCAATCATAAAAGAATACCAAGAATCCTTTGCCAGCTGGCATTCTTGCTAATCAGCCTGTGCTCATTTCCCACCTGTGACTTGTTAGTGACTTATTCCCAAGCCACTGTATGCACCATTGCTTCCTGCTAACCACGGCTTTTGTCCTTCGCAAGTCCCTTGTCATGTTAGGAAAACCCCATGAAGTTCTGCTATTCCGTCAACTGCCTGGTTGGTTTTGAGTGGGGCAATCTGGGGACTGTGGGTTTTCTCTCTTTTTAGCCACTAGTGATTTTGTACTCAGCTCCAGGTTGTTTGTGTGGAGAGGAGTTTAGCAGTGGTGTTACTTTAGGACTTATGGCCGGTTAGGTTTTACCGGAGCTTTTGAGGCTCACCTCTTGGGTTGTGATGAGACAGAGAGGGAGCCTAAAGGGGGCCTCAGGGCTGGGGAGGCCACCGGGATTGGCACACACAGTTGAAAAACTACCCTTAGTTTCACAGGGGTCTTATCTCCACTATGAAGTACCTGGATGTTAGTAATGAAACATCTTTTGTTGTTTCTCTTAATGGGATTCCCCTGTGACCCCGTCTTATCTCCTAGGCAACCTGGCATCCTCGGTACAACCTCATTGTTGTGGGCCGGTACCCAGACCCTAATTTCAAAAGTTGTGTTCCCTACGAGTCAAGAACGGTTGACGTGTTCGATGGAAGCTCTGGCAAGTTGCTGTGTCAGCTCTATGACCCAGCGTCTTCTGGAATCATCTCGGTGAGGCTCAGGCCCTCTCATGATGGAAGGATCTGGGGTTCACCCCACTTCCTGACCTTAGTCCTTATGCATCCTGTCGGTACTCGCCACCCTCCTCATGCTGAGTCTCTCGTCTCTGCAGCTCAATGAGTTCAACCCCATGGGGGACACGCTGGCCTCAGCCATGGGTGAGTAGGAAGCAGCAGTGTGCCTTGGACTGGCCGAGCCCAACCCTGCTCCCCAAGGTTCAGCACACGGTGCTGACGTGTGCACCCCAGGGCAACAGCCACACAAGATGGGGACACAGCAGTCTCTGGCCTAGGCCCTCATCATCTTGCTTTGGCTTGGTGGCGGCAACGCCCGGCTGCTGTGCTGCTAGGATTTCCTTACCAAGCGCTGGGCTCCCCAGGCCAGCCCCAAGCCACAGAGCCTGGCAACGGGAGGACAAGTCAGACTGTTCCTCCTCCCCCCAGGTTACCATGTTCTCGTCTGGAGCCAGGAGAAAGTTGGGCCAGAGAGAGAGAGCGAGAGCCAGTGAAGGAGGTGTGGGCCAGGCGACGCCTGGAACAAGTTGTGCGAGAAGAGGCAGCTGTTTGTTAAAGGGGCAAAAGTGCCCAGTGTTAGGGTGGAGCAGGGGGACTGTGGCACGGGGCACTGTGGGACCGGGGCACCAGATTTTTACCGCTGTGCATTTAGCTCCAAAAGCTGAGTGACCCAAGGCTGTGTCCAGCCTGAAGCAGAGGTGGTTTCATCCTTCTGACGGGGATGGTAGAGTGATGAGTGTTTTCATTTGTTGTACTACTGACGTGGCAATAAAACCATACCCAACCAAGCTTCCGCGTGATCTAGCACTGCCCAGGGCAGAGGGCCCTGTGGGTCTCAGAGCTGAAGAACAGGCACAGAGCAGCACGCGTGGTCCAAACCTTCATTCTCCGGAAACTGCCATAGCCATTCTGGGCCATGGTCAAGAGCGGTCCAGCTCCCCAGCCCAGGATGGGGAGAGCAGGTTCCCGATTCAGTTCGATTTGCTCCCCCCACCTCCCCTAACTCCCTCCCGGTAAAGTACAAAGCCTTCCAACCTGCTCAAGCCCAGGGGTGACAAAGGTGCTTGAAGCACAATGTCACACATTAATGGTGGCTTCTGCCAGATACAACTGGCTGGCTAGTTGTTGGGCAGTCTAATTCCTTGGTAGCCAATGTTTATACCCCAGCGTTGTGCAGTTTTTTCTTCTAAAATGTGCAGTGAGCTGCAAGGCAGTATCCTCTTGAGTTATTTGCCAAAACTCCAAACCAGAAAGGAGAGAGCAGGGTTTGGTGGAAAAGCAAGGCAGATCAGGTACTGATTCCTTCGGGTTTTTTATCCCACGTCCTGAGTGAAATGAATGCTTGTCCACACCTCAGGTCCTGGGGGAAGGTGGGAGAGGCACATCCCTCAGGAAGAAGCCAACATCCAACACAGTACTTGGTAGAAGTGAGCTCGGTGAGAGGTGCCACAGGACAAGCCCCATTGCCTGTTTGGGCTGGGGGATCAGAAGGCCCAACCCAGCCTCCTGTCCATGGCTGGGAGCAGCAGCAGTCAAGAGCAGGCCCAGCCCACTTCCCTAGGAGGCCGCGGGAAGGGGGCCGAGTGGTTGTCAGGCGTGGTCCTCCCCGTCGGCCACATGGCGATAGCCAGGAGGCTGGGCCTGTGTCCGGAAGAGGACAGTGAGGAGCAGCACGATGAGGAGGAAAAGGATGGAGCCACACACAGCCAAGGCTACAATCACCTCTGCACAGAGAGGGAAAGAAAGATGACATTAGCGTTCACCCTGCAAGCATCGGGCAGCTACCTCAGGCCAGGTGCTACTCTGACAACGGGACAGACAGTCCCTGTGCCATGGAGTTCACTCTGGGAGGAGCTCTGACACAAGCAGGGGACAGGAAGGACACACTAGTGATGACTGTTATTAAGCACGGTAGGTCAGCCCGGAAAGGCATCACCAATGAGCAAAGACCGGGTGTCAACGAGGGACACACACAGACCTGAGAGCAGAAGCTGGGCATGATGACACAGACCTGTAATTCCAGCCCCCAGAGGCTGTGGCAGGAGGTTCACAAGTTCGAGTCCAGCCTGGACAGCTCAAGAGACTTAGACTCTGTCTCAAAATTGAAAAAGCGGGTAGGGACTGAGGATGAGACTCAGCGCAAAGGCCCTGGGTCTAAACCCTAGAAGCATAAAACAAAAGACTAACAGGTTTGGGAATTTAGCTCAGTGGCTCCACTGACTGCCTCGCAAGTGCAAGGGCCCGAGTTCGATCCTCGGTATCCCCCCCAAAAAAAGAATAATAGATCTAAGAATGTTTGAGTGGGAGGTGGGGAGTCAGGAAGCAGATGCAAGAGGCCCTGGCTTGGGAATGAGCTTGGTGTGACCTAAGGTCAAAAGAAAGTCAGCATCCCTGGGCTAAGTGGGACCTGGCAGGTCGAGGCAGAGAACTTGGACTTGTGTGGCAGGAAGCCACTGGGAGGCCTAGGAGGATGGCAACGCGGCCAACTGACATTTCTTAGAAACGAACTCTGCTGCGCTGAAAGACTAGCAGGGACAAGAACAGAACCAGAAAGAATACCAGGAGGTTCTTCGGCAACTGTGACGAGCAGGACAGGGTTGGAACAGGGAGGTGAGAGCGAGTATTGCAAAGGCTGAGCAGAGGATCTGCTAGTGGCTTAGACGTGGGTAGAAGCAGGACACTGCCTAAGACTCCTAAGTGATGGACACAGCACTGACTAACTGGGAGCCCCTGAGGATGTGCTCATGTCCCGCCCACTCACTGGACCTCCACAGAGAGGCCTGGAGTCAGCAGCTGGGGGCACAAGCAGCTCGGGGATGAGGCTGCGAGTCTGTGTTGTAACACAAAGAGCTCAGCACGGCGGGATGAGGTCACTGGGAGTCGCAGAAGGGCAGAGTGATAGGGACTGGCCCTGTGCTGTCCCCTGGTCAGTGGGGAGGAGCAGCGGCAAGGGAGCTGCCCGGAGGTTAGGAGAAAACCAGGAGAATCCAAGAGAGTGGAGGTTTTGTTTTTCCTGCAATTACAGGAATAGAACCCAGGGCCTCGCATGTGCTCTGCCACTGAGCTATACCCCCAGTTACCAAGAAAGTGTCTGCGCAAGGACTGATCAGTTCTGGGATGCCGCTGAACGGTGACAGAAGCTGCTAAGAACTGGTCACTTGACAAGAGGGAGACAGAAGACGGTAATGTCAGTCTCGAGTGAGGATGGAAGTGAGGAAGTGAAGCCAGTGTCCAGGCAACTCTCAGGAAAATTCTACACCAAAGGAATCAGAAACGACAGCTGGAGAGATGGCTTCATTGGCTTTAGAATAGCTGTGATCCGTGGGGAAGGGGACACAGGTGTCACAGGTCCTGTGGAGAAGAGCTGGGACAGGTGAGCTGGTGGTCTGTGATGGAGAAGTCCTCTCCTGGCTGCTCTCACTCTCAGTTACACAATGGAAGGGATCACTTCCGGGTAGAGAGCAGGCAAAAGGTGGAAAGTGGTCTCGGGGCCGAAGAGGGACTGCCCAGTGAAAACGGAGGTGACGGCTCCCTCCAGACTCGGGATGGGAATGGAGCGCTGACCTGGACCGACCAGCATTGGCAGGGGCAGCTCACCTGTGTCTGCAGTACTGTTTGCCAGCTGGCACTCCTGCTGCCAGTCCTTGGGCACGACGGGCTCTGTGAGGCGAAGGAAGTCCTGCAGTGGGCACCGGTGAGGGCAGCCAGGCAGGAGCAGGGGCCAGGGAGCCTTCCGACTTTCATTCCGGAAGTACATCTCCACTGAGAAATTCCTGGGGCCGACGGGAGAGACAGGCTGCTTGGTTTCGTCACCCAGGCACGCCCCAGGGGACACCCTGAGAGCTCCACTTACCCACTGTCTTCCTGGTATAGTTCAAATATGTGGCAGGAAGCATAGGGAGCCTGTGCGCCATTATAGACATCCAGGGCCATCTGCAGAGCAACCAGGGTCGTGTCGTGCTGGAAGGGAGAGGGGCAGCCCATCAGCACTGCTCCCCAACCCCAGAACTGAACAGATAAGAAACCCAGCTCCCGGCCTGAGCTCTGAGCTTACCGCAGAGTAGACCAGCAGCTTAGGGAGCTGGGAGGTGGTTGCCATGAGGGTCAAGTTCTTCCGTATCTGAGCCAGCAGGACTCCTGGAGCAGAAAAGTCCCCGGTGTCAGCTGCTACAGCCATCAACATCTGATCAGCCAAAGTGCTCCTCACCCTGCTTCCACTGCTCTGTTCACCAACCCAGAGGACTTTTTTTTTTTTTTTTTTTTT